AATGGCGAACGCATTTTGAAGAGGACTTTGCTCTGGGAACAGGGTGGTCACAATCTTGTTGAGTAGAGTTGCTGGGGCCGGCGATTCATTTTGGGATTTCAGCCGCTTAAAAACTATTTTATAGGCTGTACCCCACGGTTGCCTTTCTGCTTCATCGCACAGTGATAAGAAGGATTCACGTTTACTATCTCGGATTGCCTTTTTTAACTTTTTCCGCTTGTCTGCATAGCTCAGGCGGCAGGAGAGCTGTTGTGGCGTTCCATGCGCTCTTTGTGCTCTTCGCCTCGCTTTGTGACACTCGGACCGGAGGGCTGAAATCGAATCATTCCACCAATGGACCGGTTGCTGGTGAATTTTTCCGGACTTCCTTGCCATGGAGGTATTACATGCTCTTCGTATCATATGCATGAACCCGTCAACCTCTTCTGCGGCTGCTTTAGTTGCTGTGTGTTGCTGCAAGGGACTCAGAGCTTCGAGGAATAGGTGTTTGTCAAACGTATGTAAGTATGCACATATGTGTATGTATGCGGTATTGTGCGTTAACTATTATTGCTTTACTAAGCTTTTTGCTCTCTCTCAAACTCTTCTTGCGAGACTTTATTATTTCGTCGAATGTGTTTTATTCGCTTCAGTATTTATGTAAATAGTTTGAAATCCCTGTTTTCTTTTAAGTTTATAATTTTAGGTGTGTATAGTTACAGTCAGTACTAATTTTTACAGGAACCTGCAAATTTTTACTTCAAAAGTGTATAATAACCCAAAAAAATTGCAAGAGAGCCCAGAATCGAGAGCGTAATAACACGGGAGAGCTGTAAACTCTTGTCAGTGAAATTTTTATTAGCAGAAGAATAAAATGTCAAAAGCCGCCATTTGTGGAATTGGTTTAGCGCAAACAAAAGTAAAATGAATGGAAATCAAAATATTAACGATGTACTGGACTTTGTGTTTGTGTGTAAAAAAAAAGAGTTTAAAACTGATTTCTAAATAACAAAATGCTTACAGCAGAATATCAAAACAGTATAACCACTAATCACTCGCAAGTTTTCACTATAACTTTTCCGTTAGTTTTCTCTTCTTCTTAATTTCACGCTCTATTTTGCTTTTACGCTCTCGCTGCAATTTTTCACTGGAGAAGTTACTATACACACCTTTTGATGTGGTGATTTTGTTTTAGTTAATTGTGTTAGTAGTGCTCCGACATTGAAATTCGGTGGTTCGCTTTTTGTTACTGATTACCTTTGCTGTGCTTCATCAATTAAAATTATGACTCATGAAAAAAAACTAGAAGTAAGTTAGTATACTACTGAAATACATTTTTCTATTAAACATGTACATACATATGTATGTACATATGTATATTTAAACAATTTTAATTTTGATTACAAATCGAGTATCAGACCTTTATTTGCTGCAAAGAAAGCCGCGTTAAAAGAAATTTAATTTATGCTTTAGAAAGCGCTCTCTAATTCTTAACCTTCCTTTGCACGCGCAGGGTGTGTGCGACCGAAAATTGTAGAGCCTGCGCAATTAATATTAGTTGATAAAATAGCATTAAAATTAAAAAAAATTTATTTCTTCTTAACATAAACAAAAAATCTAAGATTTTAAAGGAAACAGTTAGGGGATTCACAAGGCATGTTAAGCGTCGTAATATCTTTAGTCTTAAAATGTTTCTATGTAAATTAACAATTAAAATGGTCTTTGGGGATTTGCTGTGTATGATAAGATGTAATTATATACATATTCTATTCTATTAATTCAAAAACATTTCGGTGTAGTTAGAAATCCTTTAAAACCAATTTCATTGTTTGTTCCATCGTCGATCTTACACTCAGCCGTCGATATACCCGCGTCGCACAGTGGGCCAGAAGAAGGAGAAAGTGGCCAAAGATGTTTTTAGGCTATTTAAACGTGAAAAAATAAGGAAAAAATATTTTAAAGGTATAGGCTATTATCTACTTCGAAAAGTACCGGGTGTCCCAAAATTATGAAATTTTGGAAGTTTTAATAGCCTGAAACGTATTTATTCTATTTTCTACCATTCTATTTGGTATTTTCTGTAGAAAGCTTCTGGTAAAAAATTAAAAAAAAAACAGGGTTGCCAGATATATGAAAATTTATAATTATTCAAAAGCTCCACAGCATACTTTAAATTCTGTAGTAAAACAAAAACCGTTTGCAGAGATAAAACAAATATTTTAGAGTGGGTTTTCACCTTTCTAAAAAGTTACAATTACGTTTATTAAAAAATGTATGCTTATTTAATATCGCAATATGGGTATCAAACGGAAAGTGTTTGAACAAGCTTTAACACTACATGTTTTTGAGTAGGGTTGCCCATCTATCAGCTAAGGCTATCGTTTTAATTAATTAATTCATATTATTTAGGGAAATAAAAACAAGAATTTAATTGAAAAATTTTGATTAAAACCTTATTGCACATCTGGAGGCTAAGCTCTTTTATTGAACACCTAATTTTTTATAATTGAATGAACTTTACTTTACAAAAAATGCCATTTAAAAAAGTAAAAGCTTATTGCACATCCGGAAGCCACATTCTTTCACTTGGTAACTCATTACAAGTCCAACGAACGGCGATGATCTTATAATTTTTGCAAATGTCGCAACACTACTCAAAAAATAATACATCTAGAGGCCCTTTCATTTGACATCTCATGTTTGGTAATTCTAGGAACAGATCTTACAATTTTTTAGAATGGGGGAATTTCTAAGTACTAATGATAATACTCCTATCGATACAGATTATATTAAACAAAATATCGCCCAAATCTGTTTAGTAATTTTCGAGATTAGTGTGGTCAAAAATCTCGACTTTGCTTTATACTATGTAAGGAAGGCTATTCCATTTCATTTGGTATATCATTTTGTTATCCAACACGTGAATATCTTCCATTTTTTAAACAGTTGGCAACCCTACTCGAAATAATAATACAATTTTGCACATCTGGAGGCTAAGTCTGAAAACACTTGGACAGTGACGGTGCAGAGCTGATACCTTAGCTTATTAAGGTTGAATATAATAATTTTCTTAACAGTTGGAAACCCTGTTAAAAAAATAAAACAGCAGTTAATTACAAAATGCGTAAATTATCCGCGATTTTTATTAATGTAGATGTCTCTAGCTATAAAAAAGTTCGCATTTTTTTTAACAGTGGTGGCTAGCATTGGCGATAATCGGCATAGTGTACTTTACTTAAATACATATGTAATTTTTATGCATTCAAATATCTTTTAAAACAAAAAAATAATTGTCAATATATTTTGTTACAGTACTTTTTCTAAGACTCATTGATAGTTTAAATAAATTAAAGAGCTAGATCAGTAATTTTAGAATTCATTAATAAATTGATCAAATTTTGTTACAATTAAGCCTTGAACGCTTTTCAGATTTTATTGTTCATCGGTCGCATAGACCAATGCGTGGGTATAGGAAGGTTAAGCATATGTACAGCTGACTTGTCTGTGTGTGTGAAAATATTATCATATTAAGAGCAAGAGTTTTATTTATTTAAAGTGGGCTAAAAGTTTGGGATAAGATTTCGCAAGAGCTCACCTGCTTGATAACTGAAATCTTGTTGCTTTTTTGGTTTATAATTTTATTAAGTACTAGCAAACGTATTTTTGTGTTGCTAGTGCCTCCCAAAACTCTTATGGCTTCAGTCATAAAAAAATAAAATAGATTTGAAGAGCTTTATGAAGTAAGATTTCGAAACGAATTTTTGTAACCTACTTTATATTTTATGAATGTCGGTGTTAGTTAATATATTTTCGAAGATATTTAATCGTGAAAATTTAATTTACAATTTTATAACTCGATTTCACATGTCGAGCATTTTCTTCAATGATGTATTAATCCAGTATCTACCTTATCTTATCACCTTAACTGAATTAAATTTTTCAAATAGGTAGCAACCCGCCTAATGAATATTTTCGACAGTAAACTTTCTTAAACCTCTTTAGTTTGATGCCCGTATCGTAATATTTAATTTATCTTACCAATTGAATCGAATTCAAATTAAAAAAAAAACAGGTGGCACCTCTACCCAAAAATATTTTTGGCAGTAAACTTTCCTAAACCTCTTTAGTTTGATACCCATATTGCAATATTTAATTTATCTTATCAATTAAACCAAATTAAAATTTTAAAACAGGTGGCAAGCTTCCCCAAACATATTGTTGGCTGTAAGCCTTAAACCTCTTTATTTTGCAATATATATATATATAAATATTGCAATATTTACTTTATCTTATCAATGTACTTAAACTGCAGGTGGCAACTCTTAAGTTAGACCTCTAGCAATGCATCGGTGAAAATTGCATTCAATTCCATGCATTCGTTTATGAGTGATGCGCGTACAACCATACAGACGGACAAAAATTCTAAAAATTGTTGTTTTGGCTTCTGTTGTTGTAAATATTTAATAAATATTCTCCATAGTAATTTTTCTTTAATGTCTATAATGTAAAGACGTCGGTTGACTGTTGAAGGCCCAAATGTTATCTTTGCAAATAAATATGTTAAGAATTGTTGAGTTCAATAATTTTGTTTGCGTTGATAGCTGCGATTTTGAAATTATGTACTTGATGGATGTTAAAATGTGAGCTTAAGCTTAAGTGGGCGCGCAGAAATAAGAGCAAATAAAAAATGTACTAATTACTATTTTTTTCATTCAGCGTTTTTTAAATAATAAGCTTTCAAAGTAAATTTTATAATCAGCACTGAATTTGTGTCATTTTTCAGTTTACAGAAATCACAATTCCCGTACCTTGGGGTCATATCTCGGGACGTTGGTATGGTGATCATACAGTTCGACCGCTGCTAGCTTTACACGGTTGGCTCGATAATTGTGGCAGCTTTGCCAAATTGGCACCCCTACTCATACAAACAATTGGCAGTGTGCTTTGCATCGATCTTCCCGGACATGGATATTCTACACATTTACCACCTGGAACAGTTTACCATTCTCTAGAATATGTACGTGCTGTCCTACGACTGATGAAGGTATACAACTGGCCGAAAATTTCATTGCTGGGTCATTCCATGGGTGGAGCGGTGGTGTTTTTCTTCGCAGCACTATACCCCACTAAAGTGGATGTGCTAATAGGGATTGATGCCATCAAAAGACCGGTTTTGAAGCCACAAGACAAAATAGAATATTTTCGACATGCGATGGGCAAAGCATTGCAAGATAATCAGCGTCTAGTCGATGACACATCCCAGCAGGAACCACCAAACTATACGTTTGCCGAGTGTGAGCAATTGCTGCATAAGGGGTCGGGCTACTCGGTGGATCTGGAAAATTGCAAATATATCTTGGAAAGGAATTTGAGCAGGTCACAAAAATATCCCGAGCGATACTATTTTTCGCGCGACACACGCCTTAAGTACATAACGGCTTTGGATGGAGACCATGCACTTTTCGAAGCCATGGCTATGCGTATTAGTGAAGCTGCAGTTCCTTATGTGGTCATAAAAGCAGGTGCTTCAAACTATATGGACGATGAATCGATGCAGTTAATTCGTTTATTAGAAAAGCATAATCCAAATTTTGAAACACATGTGATTGCCAATGGCAAGCATCATGTGCATTTGAACGAGGCACCGGTTGTGGCAGAGTTGATCGCATCGTTTTTGAAGCGACATCGCCCATTGACAGTTGTACGTGCCGAGCAGCCAGGTGTTGAAAACAAAAACGAAACGGTGGCAAAGGGTAAATTGTGAACTTGAAAACGCATGCGTGTATTTAGATTGTAATTAATGTTTATGAATTAACTAATAAAAAATACTTTGTATGTTTGTACGTGGGCATTCTGTGATATACTTACATATGTACATACATACACACATTGCATAGTATATGCAAGCCATGGCTATAGTATTGTGCAAAAAAATATAAAAAATTTATATTCCCAAAATCTTATATTTTTTTACGTGNTGAAAACGCATGCGTGTATTTAGATTGTAATTAATGTTTATGAATTAACTCATAAAAAATACTTTGTATGTTTGTACGTGAGCATTCTGTGATATACTTACATACATACATAACACACATTGCATAGTACATGCAAGCTATGGCTATAGTATTGTGCAAAAAAATATAAAAAATTTGTATTCCCAAAATCTCATATTTTTTTTTACGTATTTTAAGTCATGAGACCGATAGCATTAAAAATAGGTATCAATGTCCAGGCAGTGCGGCTCTGGAACTCATCCTTTCAGACCGCCTGCCCAGCCCGATATCTAGGGATGCTTCTGCTTGGAATCCTGTCCATTCCGACCAGTGTTGCCAGAACTTTTTGGGCCGACCGGCTAGATTGGCAAAAAAAAGCGGCTAAAAACGGCTAAAATGTTTTAGTGAAAATTCACATGCTTTATTTAAATAAATCGCAAGAAACGAAAGACTAGTTAACACCATTAATTTATATCGAGTGTATATTCCTCATCATCAAATGAATCACTATTTTATATATCACCTGAATTCATTAATTTTAAGAGATCGTCATCTACAGTAAAATTATGGCAGCATTTTTCTTCACGTTTTAAACCGTATATTATATATAAAATAGCGTTTAACGTTTTAACGCACATTGGATTTCTTTGCTTAGTTTTTATTATATTCATTGAACTAAATATTCGCTCTACTTCTGCATTACTTATAGGCAAAACAAGAAAACTAAAAACTAGGTTGCAAAGGTCAGCAAAAGGGTTTTCTCCTAGGGCATTTCGAAATTGTAAACTTCGGCCCAAAATTTTACAGTTGAGTCTTACTCCAGGTATGTAACGTTAACCGTTGCCATTGCATCTCTATTGATGTTATTTCGTCGGCATTATATTTGTGTTTTTGTTGCTGTAATTGAACAAATAGTTTCGGTTTAATTACTCTTAATGCATTTCCAACCGAAAAAGTCAATTTTTTTTTAGTGTGGCAATATTTGTAGGGAGGTGTTGGCGTAATTCCTTTATTAAAGTGATAATAAAATAGCGACCATTTACTCGAATTATTTTCTCGGCTTCGTGGTCAAAAGCGTTTGTGCTTACTTTTGTTTTTAAATACTCTTCAAAACTGTGATAAAACTGAGGAAATGGAGCAAGGTATGGTTCCAACGGGGAGCATATAGGATCAAATGTGTCCGCGCTAATAACCACTAGGGAGCATAGATGCGAAAGTAAAACATTGAGTTCATTAAAAATCTTCATTGGGTCTGCATTATCGCTATCGAACAACTTGTTTACTTTTTGCACCTGAAAATTAGGCAAATAGTAAAATCGGCCAAAAACGGCTAACTTTTTTTTACAAACCGGCTAACAAATCGGCTGCCGGCTAGATCGAATTTTCTCCGGCTAGTTGCTATCAAAACCGGCTAAATCTAGCCGGGAAACGGCTAAAATGGCAACGCTGATTCCGACAGCCGCCACAGCTGCAACAATCGCAACAATTGTAATATATGTATATGTAAAAAAAATTCTAAGCTTTGCCACATATGCCATAAATTTATACTTTGACAGTTGACAGCGGTCTAGTTAGTTGTCAATTTCTCTAAAAATAAATTCTTTTTGAAAATGCCACCTATTAAGTTTTTAGATACGTTAGTCACGAATTTTACGTCAAATTAATATTTTGACAGTTGACGGCAGTCAATTGGACTGACAACTCATTTAAAATGAAATCTTTTTAAAAATTCCACTCATCATGTTCTTAGACACGCTGATCACGAATTGTATATCAAATTAAGAGTCTCAGAGTAGACAGCTGTCAAAATCACTGTAAATTTTTATAAAACTAAGAAAATCTTTTTTTTTAAATGCTCAAACCTGCTCCCAGAGAGCACTCTTCAGCAAACCGACATATGCGAGCAGTCGACCCACATTTCCTGCTCGTTGAGTCGATACTCCGAAGAAGTAGTCCAATTTCAAGATGCTGCAGAGAAAAAGATGCCGCTTACGGGGCCACGCTGCGATCGGCCGCAACGTGAACTATGTGGGACCGGTATAGCGAACTGAAGACGGAGGCGAGACGTTTTTGCCGCAATAAGAAGAGGCCGAAAAACCGGAGTGTGAAGAGCTTGAAATGCTGCCAGGATAGGAAAAACATCCGAAAGTTTTATTAGACAGTTAGGCGACTTACGGCACGGTACCGATGTCAAGAACGTGCTTGAATTATAGAGGAAACACTTTTCCATCCTACTGAATTCTAGCAGCACTGAAAGCTGTGGAGAAGGCAACCCGAGCCCCCGGTCGATGATGCTGGAGTCGATATCCCATCGCCCGATTATGACGGCTGAAAAATGACAAAGCTGCTGGGGCTGATGGCTTGCCAGCCGAGCTAATCAAGTACGTCGGCTAGCAGCTGATAAGGTGCATGCATCAACTTATATGCAGTATAAGGTCAGATTAACGCATGCCCGACGACTGGAATTTAAGTGTGCTCTGCCCAATCCACAAGGTAGGCGACGCCGCCATAAGCGCCTACTACCACTGGATAAGCTTTCTAAGCATATGTTAAAAGTTATCGAGCGTATTGTGCGAACGACTGAAGCACACCACCAACGAACTCATTGGGTCTTATCAGCGTGGCTTTAGACTTGCCAACTTCACCATAGATCTGGGAGAAAAGGAACGACTTTATCTATTTATCAACGTCAAAGTCGCTTTCGACAGCACTAAAAGAAGTTGCCTGTACGCCTCGATATCTGAATTTGGTATACCCGCGAAACTGATACGGGTGTGTAAATGACGTTGAGAAATACCACCAGCTCTAGTAGAATTGGAAAATACCTATCCAAGCCGTTTGCCACCAAACGGGGGTTCAGATACGGCGACTCCCGTTCGTCTGCTTTCTAATGCTGGTGAAGATTATAAGACCTGCAGAACTGAATTGCTCAGGACGATATTTTCGGTAAAAACAAGGGCTACGGTTGTTCTGCCTTTTGGGGATTATATAGAGACGAAAATCGAATGAGTCTGGTGGGGAACGAGGACAAGACGAAGTATCTCGTCATATATTAAACAAACAGTCAGCGAATAAGCACCTTGGTACCCATGTCACTTTTGAGAGTTATAAATTCGAAAGAGTAGAGAATTTCGTTTACTTGAGACCAGCATAGTAATGTCAGTATCGAAATCCAACGCAGAATCACTCTTGCCAAGAAGTGCTACTTTGGACTGATTAGACAGAAGCATGGACAATGACAACATCCGATTAGGCGGCTCTTGAAGTATGTCATAGACATAGTGCAGTGAACTAAATTACAGTGGCCCCGCTGACTTAGCCATCTCTTTCCAATGGACACCGACGCTCCGGCTCTGAAAGTATTCAACGCGGTCGCGTAGCAGAGGAAGAGGGAAACCCCCTACGATCGAAAGGCCGAGTGGAGAAGGGCTAGGCATTTCCAATTGGCGTCAGTTGGCACAGAAGGGAAACGGCTGACGTGATTTCTTGAACTCAGTCACAGGGCATCTTGAAAAAAAAGATTGTAGATTTTTTTGAACCAGTCTAGTAGTAGTAGTCTGTTTCTAGCACAACCACATTTTATTTATGTGTAAAAAAAATATATATATATTTGTATGTATTTTCTGACTTTAAGTTTCATAAAACTGCCACAATACTGTACATAATACGAGCTTGTGCAAACTAATACATTAAATGAGATCAAAGTTCGTTGGTAAAAAATGTATGTTTTATTTTTGCCAGAAGGTAAAGTAACTTGTTTTTTTGGTTAATAAATTAATATATTTTTTTTAAATTTGGAATGCGATTATGAGATTCTTATAATTTATGAATTGGGAGCGTTTTAGTCTGTCACTAACCATACAGTGTGTACTTCGAAATTCAACTGCAGTTCCGTGGAGGCGTGAATTTAAAGAGTATGAAATGTCGGAGAGCCAAGTAAGTAAATAGAATTAACGCACAAGCGAGCTTAGCGAAGCTGCTTTACCCTCTTTTTACTTTTTACAGCCCGTCGAGTTGCAAATTCCCATGCCCTGGGGACACATTGCTGGCTGCTGGTATGGCAGTCGACACCTTCGACCGCTACTGGCCCTGCATGGTTGGCAAGATAATGCCGGCAGTTTCGCACGTTTGGCTCCACTTATAGCGCCACACCGACCCCTATTGGCCATCGATTTGCCCGGCCATGGACGTTCTTCACACTTTCCTACGGGTTTTTATTACCACTTCAACGACTTTATTCGCGTAGTGCATCGTGTCGCTCGCTACTATAAGTGGCATAAAATATCATTTCTTGGTCATTCATTGGGAGCTGCGCTTAGTTTCTACTATGCCGCACTCTTTCCTACCAAAGTCGATATGATCATTGCAATCGATGCACTAACCACTCCATACTTCCCACCAAATATACAAATCTCCTTGACGTCCGTAATGACTGAAAAAGCGCTCAATGAAGAGGATCGTTTGCAAGAGCCAGCGCCCCTCTATACTTATGAGAGTTTAAAAGATTTACTATATCGTGGCTCTGAGCAGTCGGTGGAATTAGAGCATTGTGAATTTTTGCTAGAGCGCAGCGTTCGACGTGTACAAAGCAATCCCGATATGTATTATTTTGCACGCGACAATCGCGTCAAGCTGGTCGAAATGTTGTTCACTCAGCCGGAACTGGTCAATGCACTGGCCGAGCGAGTGCGCAACATTCACTATCTTGTGCTGAAAGCTGAACTTTCGGATTATATAAATTTGGAGAAGCAAAAGGAAGTTATTAACGTTTTACGCGCAAACAA